GGGGGGGGGGGGGGGCAGGGCAGGGTCATCTTGAGTTTTAAGATCATATCGCGTCTTTCTGAGATTTCCACACTAACCACCACCCAATGTGCACATGGGAATTATCATAATATTTACCTTTTATTATGGACATAGCTCTATTTTTTTGTAAATCAGTATTCCTTTAAAATGTAAAGGACATTGGTAGAGAAGTGAAATACCTGTGAGTAGGTATTCAACCAATCGTATGGAAAGAACAATATTATTTTTTATTAAGGGAGATTAGACGCGTTACCCGAAAAACGTTTATTCCTTCAAGTTTAACAATATATTGGTTCATGAGAGGGGATGATTCAGAAGCAACCGAAAAAAAACATTCGATATTAATATATCCGATATTTTCATGTTCTCAAATTGAAACGCAACTTAATTACAGCTAGAACGTTAATACCTAAATATATAATCAAACATAAGCATATAAAACCCAAGTATGATAGTATTATGAGATAAAATTATAAATAGGCATAGTAGTAGTAGCCAGTAGGTAGGTATAGTAGGTATCTTCGAACAATTGCAAATAATTTGAATATTATGTTTTATTTGGGCGGTATCCATTTTTTCAGAGATGCCTGTTCGTCCACTGTACATATTTTTATGTTACTCAACCATATTTGTTGATACAGATTAATAAAAAAAAAAAAATCGTAAACATAAACACATATATGTTATGATAAAAGTAAAAAATAAAATAAATACTTTAGATTAATTTGATAACCCAACATAAAAGCATTTATCATGGGCAAATGAGTAGAATGGGCAGGTCATGCATGGAGAGATAATGGTATAAGAAAAATGAAATGATACGTAAAATTAACTGGAGAAGACCCAAAGGATGTATGGATACGCTAAACGCTGAAGTCAGGACTTGAAAATGTGCTCAAGGAACAATGTAGAAATTATTGAAAATGAGGAAAGATAGCATGGACATAATGAAAGCAACGAATATTCTGAACGGGCTATAAAAGTTACTGAAGAAGAATAATTTGATAGCAAATACTACTTTTGTTGAAAAATAAAAATATAACTGTAATCCACTATACACGAAAACGCGCTATCGCACTTGACATTGATTAATATTTATCTTATTGCATTTGGTTAGTCATTTTTAAATACTTGAGGTTTTTGTAAATTCCTGTAGAACAACTGAGATGCAGTGCACCATTACGTCTAGAAGCATAATTTATTCGTATGGCATCGGCACTCTTTTAAACTTTCAATAATTATTAAATAAAACCAACTGAAGATGGACAACATTTTGTATTAGTACTTTACAGTTAGATATTTTAATACCAATCAGTGGCGCCCAGATAGGTTAGCAAGGGGTGCAACTGCATGTGCTCTCGTGGGGGGTGGATGGGTAGGTATAGACGCCTATGGTTATAGGTATCTACCTAGATAAAGTATAGGCCGACACCGATTGCGGGCAACTCCAACGAGCCGCGTCGACGGGTACGGAACCAGCGTCGGCCACTTGCCCCCGCCGTCGAAGGCCCGAGAGGTNGGGTGGGTCACTTTTGTTAGTTGCATGTGCTCTCAAAATACTTCTGTGCGCCACTGATACCAATGATCGTTTATCATAAATAAATTAGCATGAATACTTTTGTTTTTACATCATGGATATAAATAGAAAAAGTATTAAACATTTTTTTTAATGGTTGAACACCTTAAAAATTGTTAGTTTTTCAAACATATACATAATGAAAAAAATACTTTACCTCAGTAAATCTTAAATTAAATTGTAATTATATCTAAATGGATATTATTATAAACAATTGCACATTGGTAATATTTTGCATAATATTGCAAAAGTTATAAAGTATACCTGACATAATCGAACATAGTTTATTACAGAAAAATATTTTACGCGAACGTCATTCAATCCGTTTATATAACTGAAGCTTGACACGAAAATAACAAGGACATATTATAATTTACGCATAATATCTTATATGCATATACTAGCGTATTACTGTCTTATTAATTTATTATAAGTACTCGACTAAAAATACACATTTTAAATTACTCACATTTTTCTATTTATTCGAATTAATTAAATTAAATTAATAAACTATCAAATATTATGTATTAAACAATAATTGTCAAACATAATAGTACATCTAAAACCGATGAGGAATAAAAAAAAAACACAGCTATACTACAAGGACAAATAGTATAAACATAATGTAGCATAGAAACTAAATATAATTCAATTTATATACCTACATTACGAATTAGTTTGTTAATCGCTAATTATAATGAGAACATGTTTACCAACTTTGTTCGTTAAAATTAAAATTAAAAATTATTCAGTTAATATTATATTATTACATATTTTTGAGAAAATCAATGAATTGTTTTTTAATTTTAATATTTATTCAATAATCAATGGAATGATTTCAATTTTTTATCATTTACGATCACACAGTTATCTCAGATTTTAACATAACGAGAACCATCAAATAAAGCACCATTTTTACACAGAAGTTAAATGTTTTTTAGGCATGTAAGAACATTTTGGCGAAAAAATATTCACGTCACAAAGAAAAGTCGTTTACACTACGGGTAGAGATTTATGGATATGGAATATTACAATTTTATCAAGACATACGCAAATAACAATTTTTACAGTTAAAATATGTTGACACGAACAAAGTACACAAACAAGTAATTTAGACTAGATAAAGATATGTATTTTAAATAGCAGCCATAATGTGTACACTTCCTAATGCATTTTATTAGTTGTATCAATCCACGTTAAAAACCATACCCTTCAATTTCAGGTATTTAATATCATTAAGCAAAAATAATTACATACAAACGCGAAGGTATTTCCTATTTATGAGAGGAATTTGTGGAAAACAGCTTAAAACGAATACTGATTTTTAAATACCTATTTAAAAAGCACCACAAAAAAAAAATGATTAGGAAGGCGTATTTGAAACCGACGCGTCGACTAGAAATAATAATAAATAATAATGATTTATATCAATGATTTAGGTTTGAATTTTTTTTTCTATTATTACACTCACGCATCGAACGTTTGGTTTATGAACGAGAAAATGTGTATTATTATTATCATTTTATTTTTTCATTAACTTTTCGGCGCACACACAACTGAAACAACAACGACGATGACTGTTAAGCACAATATGTTAATTATTAATAAAGGTTTTCGTTTAGAACAGAGTGTAAACTGGTAAACGGGAGCTAGCGATAACACACTATAATAGGAACAACACACGCGCCTTATAGTTATAGTGAGAGTGGTAGTAGTTACGTCATAAGCTCATAATCATATTATTATTGTATATAATAGTCACAAACGATTTTATGCGCTATCGATACTACACTGAATTCCTTTCAATCCAGCCGATCGCGAATCGCGACATAATGATAATAATTATCGAGTCTACATAATCATTATAACTGTGAAGTTGACTTAATCGGCGGGCTGCTGTATGTGCACTGAACCGTCATAAATGTGAGTGTGAGTGTATGCGTACTATCTGTGCATTGTTTACACTAAAAATGTTTTTATTGAATTTGATTTCATGGCCCGCCAAACATAGATCATCTTTTACAGATAAACGGATGGTATACGCTGTACAAAATATTTTATGTGGCGGGCGCACAATAGGATAAGAGAACGGGAAAACAACCTGCGTAGATTCGCAACAGTTACAAATGTACAAACATAAATTACGAAATGTTTTATATTTTTCTAGCCACACCGCAATGAAAGTACCTACTCAGCCAAATGGTAAGTGGAAATGGATTGAATGAAACTTTGCAAAAATATTTTTAAAATGTAGTCATATTCCCATTATTTTTCCAAATGAAGTTGGTGCTATCGGAATATATTACATAATAGTCGTTTAAATATAATACAAAATAAAAATGATGATTATGTAATTTAAAGTAATAGGTACTGTGATTATTATTAATATAATAGGCAATAAGGGTTGTTACTTGTTATTACAAAATATTACATTGTGTGTGTTCATAAGATACTTTTGTACAAATATTATTTTAATAATATCCCAAGCTAGTAAGCCCTAAAGTTAATTATTATCGTGCAGTTAAAATGTAATTTAAAAAATCGTTTTCCATATTTTGCACATATTAAACTAGGTACATACAATAAAATTAATTAGTACATCTATTATTATACTTCAATTTTTGACATATAGGTTCTTTAGCACAGTATTTACATCATCATGTCTATTTATTTTGAGTACTATTTTTCTCTGTTCGCAAGATTCTTTAGTTAAAATATGAGCAATAATAGAAGCAAAGCTAGTTTGACAACGACGCTAGTCCGTAATAATGAATCACAAACTTGTGTTATGAAGTAACACAGCGACAACGACAGCACTAGAAGTGAGTTGATACAATTCATACTAATATTATAGTGTCTCATTGCGTGAAATTACCCACGGAATAAAACAAAATTATGGGAAAATATGAAATATAACAAAAGAAAAGTACTCAATATTTAACCGTTCCTCAATAATTATATAAATATATATATATATTAAAATTTACCAATTATTTTATAAAATTGTATTATGCCACATACTCGATGACACGATGGTGACGGTCGCACACACGTCATGCATAAGCAATATGTAGAATGTAGATATATATACATACATCTAATTAAAATCGACTCGATTTTAATTAGATAGGTACCAGCGAGAGCCGGTCGTCACATCTGGCGCAGTGTCAATTTTATTATACATTAATACAACACATAAAGGTAGGCAAAGTGCGTACGTCCTCTCCAATACACACTCACTCACTCACTTTATCACTATAACCACCTCCACTCCTCTCGTTGTATCTCACTCACGCGGGGGGGGGGGGCGTGACAAAAAATTGTTAACGATAAAAATATGATACCATCTCGAATAAAAATATGTATCGTGTAATGGACAACGGAATATGAAGACGAGACTCACCCGTGGATGTACGGCCTGGTGGGGGCCGGATACAGGTGTGGCGGCATGGTCGGACTGGCCGACGGTATGGCAGCGGGCTCGTGGTACTCGGTGCTGAGGGACCTGTCGTCCAACTTTTGCTCCACGTTGTGCGCTTTCGAGGCGGACTTGATGTCCATGAACGACACGGTGGCGCACACGCCACTGGCGCCCAGCACCACCTCTTCCTTCGATCTCGCCAGTATTTTAACGCTTTGCACGCGTCCATACCTGTGGCAAAAAACACGCGTCGATATTATTAGCCATGTCCGAAACGAGCAACAAACGTCCGGGCGACGGCGAGATAACACTCGTGTATAATTATATATATTTGTATTGCATTATTTATATCGAAAATCAATTGCGGAAGTGTTATTTTCTTTTATTTATGATGAAAATACGTTAAAAACATTAAATACATGATTTGTTGTGACGTGGAATTACGGGCGGCGGCGAGTAGATGACGAACGGCGAATAACAACTACTACACTACTCGACTACCGGGCGGCGAACGCGAGTGAGATGGTGTTTTGCAGAGCGGAATCGGTCGGCCGGACGGTCGGGGCACGCGCAAAAAACCCAGCGACGCACACACACACGCGCGCACTCGGGCGCGGGCGCGGGACGACGGCGGCGACGGGCGCGATTTAATGCACTCGACGAAACGCGCCGCCGCTCGGTCGTGTTAGTAGTCACTCCGTCAATCAGTGCTGCGAATTTCGTGCACGTCCGACCGGCGGAGGAGGACGTGCACGACAACGACGACAACTATACACAAAACTATACACATACACGCCCCACGACAGCCTGCACCGGGCTCTCCAAAACTATTATTATATTGATGTATAAATATATGAGACACGATGTGGTACTACCCCGGAGGAAGTCGATGGGGTTGCGACTTGCAGGAGAGAATAACCCCCCTGGCCCGGAGAGAGACCGTAATATAAAAACCCCAAAAACACACGGTCGTCGCATCGATTTTAATCGAAATGACGCATGAGCGCGGGGCGTTTCTTATACCAGACGAGTGGGTTTTTACTTTTTTTTTTTTTCTGTTCGTTTCTCTCTCGTCACCCATCAAAATGTATTCTATAATTTCAATATACTATTATATAAGAATAGGTCATATACTCATACGGAACATAAAATATTATTGCTAAACGTTTTTTTTTTTTTGTGTGTGTGTTATTTATCCAAGTCAAAGTTACCGAACATGTCACATAATATACGCACATAGGCAATATAATAACACGATGTATTTTTCAATGTTTTTGCGATGAACATAATAATTTTTAAAAAACCTAGGTTCTACGGCAATTAAATAAATGCGTGTTATTAAGAGAAAAAATGGAAATAACATTTACGAGTCCTGGTTACACGCTATACATGTAAACAAAATGTGCAAACTCAAACGGGCGAATACAATATTTAAAAAAAACCTTGTAAAACAACATTTTAATATTTATAAGCCGACCAAATTAAATAATGTATTTCCTAGATCGTGTTTAATGTTTTTCAAATATTTTCCAAGCTGTGTGATATAATAATAAGGTGCACAATGTATACGTTTCCATTAGTCTCACGACTAAACAAAATGTACTTAAAAAAATTCTTAAAATTATAATAAATAATATTTTAATATTATTAAATAAAGTGTCTTGCCTTAACCAGTCAGGGTGATGTATCATAAATCATGTACGTATAACAATAACTACTTAATAGTTTTTTTTCCTATTTCTTTCTTTGTTTTCATTACTTCATGATTAAAATTAATTTTTCAATTTTTAACCGTTATAAAAAATATACATTATATCTATGAAAACTATTTTGCTTTTTTAATAATTATTTAAGAATCTATATTCTAGCTATAGATTGTAGAAAATGTAACATTCAGTTATTTATATACGGTTACACCTGGATGGTTTTTGTTGGAATTTAGTACACATCTGCGACGCATATGGAGGGTAAGTAAACAGCTCCTAGCAAAAGTAAAAGTACTTTTACGACCGTCTCGTGGTTTTTATATGACCGAACTACATCGACAAGAAAAGGTTTTCAGTTAACGACAAAAGTTCTACAAACGTTCTACACACATTTTACATAATTTTCTCGTTTATAATTCTATAAATGGAACTAAAAGAAGAGGTATATCACTATTTTATCGTTTGCTAAATTAACATTTTTATACATAAAACGTTAATGTCCTAAATGTTCAACATTTGTTTTTAATCGTCCTTCAATAAATATTTATCAGAAAGTAGAACTTTTTATTTATATATGTATTATTAGCGGTACAATGAAAATAATTAATGAGCAAATACAAAAAATTCAAATACTAATAAAATATTAAAAATGGTACAAATATTTATCGTGTGTAAATACGTAAACAATCGAGTCAAATCGATGTCAACTAATTCTTGACCTAAGAACAGATAAAATACTACAGCAGCGATAAGAAAAACTATTAAGTAAACAAAAATAAAAACGTAAATTGGCTGTTGTTCTTAATCCACCCCGACCTAAACTATCTTGTTATGTTGGACTACTAAAAACGTTATAGCTAAGTTAAGAAGCTATTTATCAGTCCCTCGGCACTCCTCGTATATAAATGGAGTAGAAGACTATTTTTACCCCATTCTTCGTATGCGTCCGGAAAAAAAATATCCTAATTTAACTTTTAAATGAAACGATGTTCAATTGTTTTGTATCATTTTTGTAATGTTCGCATGAATAAAAAAGTTATCTTTTAGTTATAGCCAGACTTTAGGTCTACAATTTCAGAAAATAACTGCAGTAAAAATTTGATTAAAACTTATGTATTAAAATGCATGGTTAAAGTTGTAAATAATTTTCAGCTAAATAAACAAATAAATATTCATGTGTAAAAAGTATTTAAGATTCTAATTGAATACTATTAGAGTTTTTGTATTTGAATAATACAGTCCATAAAAAGGCTGAAATAATTTCATAATACAAAACATAACTAAGAAAAGTGAAAACATGAACAAAAAACATTTTATTTTACACCCATAGCATCAGAAGTATTTAGTTTCATAACACACCTATAATTTCTACAAGTTCACGAAAGAACATACAATTTAAAATAAAAAATAACTGGAAAAGGTGCATTTTAGAACCTATACTAATTCACAACAGTAATTTAAATAAAATGGTGTGGTGATAATGACATTTTCAATATTTCATTTTAGGAATAGAAATATTAAGCAATCAAGCAGTGTGACTCGGTAGTTGGTCGCAGTCGCTTATACAGTATTTTTTATATCGCTATCAAGTATTAAATATTGAAAATTGTATTGTGTTAATTAAAATGTGATACTAGGTTATTCTATGTAATTGTGATTACACAGTTTCAAACTGAAAATTCATAAATATATTCTTAAACATATTATGCCTTTCAAATAACGTACTACCAATGGCATACTGTTAAATGGTGTAGTGGTGGCAATTTACCCCAGATATGATTTTTTTTACGTATAATATGAAATTTGAATGAAATGTAGGAAATTATAGGAATTAAGGAATATTTGCTGGCAATATTAATATATTATTATTTATTATTACGCAACTAACACTACCACATGGCACATACCACGGCAGTCCTAGGGAGTAGCATTACTACAATCGGACCAACAATCAAATAAATATTATCAACTTCCTCTTATAAGGGACTTAAATTAAATTATGCCTTAGATGGAAATGTAATAAGATAAGCATAGAACAATTAATATTATTATTGATTTCAAACATAGAGAAATTCTACATACAGTGACCACTGATGATTGCATATTTCTAGATCTATATTTATGCACTTTTGTAGTATTGTTATATTATTAATCTCCGAGTTAAACTCTATGCGGATATTCACCGTTGTTATTATACATATATTTATATAATAAGTACAGAAATGAAACTTCATTACTTTAATTATTTTGTTAAGAAGACATTATGGACGTACCCACATGACGTGATGAATCCGTCTTAATTAATCCAAATATTGAAATAGAACAAGTTGTAGGTTCAGAAGAATCCATTTTACTCTTATTTTTAATATTAGAGTAAATTAGTCTATTATCAATTTAAAATGTCAGAATATTATTTAAGGCCCCAATTTAGGCCTTAAAGTTAATAATTTTCATTATAATACCATGATGCTTGAATATTTATAACAAAATTCCTCATGAGTTGGTTTCACTAGAAATCAAAAAAAAGGTTACCATAAACATTTTAAAGGAACGATTAGTTATCATTTTACTATTTTAGTTATTTTGTTATTATTAAAACATCAAAACACTATAATTACTTATATTACTAATTATAACATTGACTTTTTCAAAATTATATGGACTAATTTCAAGTTATTTATAGGAATTTTCGAATTGGTTTAGTAGTTTCTATAATATATTTAATTTTTTCTACATAAGTAATTCTTAAAGTAAACTAAGAATCTCAAAAACACAAATTCACAATTTTTTTATAGACAATTCAAGTAAACTATTACGTTTTTAGTTATTTTGTAGGGATTTAAGACTTTTGTCATCGCGCATATTAGTATTTACTATAACTACATATATTTTTTAAATATTTAGATTTATTTTAAGCTATTTACATATTTTATATTGTAACCAATTCACACGTGCGTCGAGCACTCGTGTATTAAATTATAAGCAGTTTATTATTGTATATGTTACAGTTAGTAAATTAGATAATATTGTAAATAAGCAATAATTTTTACATAGTGGATGAAATTTGCTTTTTGGAAAAATTAGTTCAGCTAACCGTATTACTAATAGAAAAAAAGAATTAGATAGCAATATAATAAAATAATAAAATAAAATATCTTTAGAAATATAGGCTAACGACCGCACAGAATCGTTTTTCGTATGCAATGTTTTATCATTTAACACCATTATATTATTATTATATTTCATTATATTGACCTACTCCATGATGATGTACTCGGACCTACTATACAGCAGAACGAATTCCTCGTTTTTTTTTGCAACCGAATTTATATTGTACTTAAGTATACGGTATACTGTAAACATATAAATGCACATTTATATCTTACAATATTATACCAATATTAAAGAAAAAATATTTTTAGAGGTATTTATTTATTTTAAAAAAATGTCCCTATAATTGTATTTTTACTCTTTAAATGTCCCCTCCCTCACAACCATAAGAAAAATAATTTCTACGCCACTGTC